GGGGGGGGGGGGGGGGGGGGATCTGACCGGTATTTGTGCGGCGTGTGCCCTGACTTCCTTGGCGAGGTCCATCTCCATCTCCCGAACCTCCTCATCCATCTCATTCTCATCCTCGCCAACACCCTCACCACCCTCACCCTCACCCGAAGGCTCCTCGTACTCGGCATCGGCCGCAGCATCTTCAGCTGGTGCTGCCTGCTGATCCTCACCACTCTGATCTGTTGCATCAGCACCAGCATCACCACTGCCACCCAGTGGCATGAATACGCCGCTGCCCTCTGCGGTTTCGATGAAAGCCGTCTGTGTGGGCACATGAAAGTAGAGTCTCTCCTGGGCACTCATGAACCACTGGCCGCTGGTGTGCACACGCCATGATGAGTCGCCGCCTTGGTCGCTCGCATGCCACTCATCGTCGAGTTTGGCGATGCGCGCCACCTCTGCCGCCAGAGATTGGACGTTGTTCATGGACGCAGATGAGCTGCCGCTGGCTGCTCTTGACACTCCTGTGTTCCTCGCCGCCCTCTTGGGGGGAGATCTGCTGCGAGCTCAAGATCGGAAGCAGACAAATCTTCGAGCGAATCTTCGGCTGCGGTAGTGTGCTCTGGGTAGCAGCGAGTGGTCCTGTGTGGTTGAGATCTCGAGCTTTCCTTGCTTCCTCAGCGGAAACGGCTCAACCGTCTCGTTCCTCGCACCACCACCTCGTCAATCGCCCGCCGAAGCTGGCAGGCACAGGAAGCCTCCCCTCACCCTCGGAGCAGCGCCCCAGTAGCATGTCCACCGGCGGCACCAGGCCTGGCTCAGGCCAGGACAGCATCAGACTCACGTCGGCTTCAACGGACACTGGCAAACCGAGTGTGCTGGTGAAGGCACCCTCTGGGCAGAAGGCCTACCACGACCAGTTCTGGCGCACGCGGATGTGCCCCTTCCTAGCCGCTGGCCACTGCCGCAAGACTGCGGTAAGCTATAATCATGGAGGGGGGGGAGGGGAGGGAGACAGACATGCACAACGGATTGGTCGGTCACTGTCTGCCTTGTTGTGCGCGCGTGTGTGTGTGTGTGTGTGTGTGTGTGTGCAGGAGGACTGCAACTTCGCCCACGACCCGTCGCTTATCGTGAGCGGCCCGTCGCTCGCCAAGACACGCCTGTGCGAGGCATGGAAGAAGGTGCGATGACCACACAATTAAGTGCAGGTGTAACTGACTGGCAGACCGAGAGATGTGTCGTGTTTCCCCCGTGCACATGGCATATTGATGTTGTTGGTCAGTACGGCAAGTGCGGTAATGCCACCTGTCGTTTCGCCCACGGCCAGGTGAGTGAGCGAGTGCATGGGAAGGGGTGCGATTGAATACTGCAGCCATACACACGTCTGTCTGTCTCTGTCTGTCTGTCTGTCTGTCTGTTGGTCTGTGTGTCTGTGTGTCTGCAGGAGGAGTTGCGTGCGACGCCCGACTACTACAAGACGAGCATGTGCAAGTTTTGGATGCGCGGCGACGGCGGTTGCCCGCTGGGAGACAGATGCAGACATGCCCATGGTAGGTATTGCCGGCAGGACCCCCCCCAATGAGCATCACGTGGATCTGTGGTATGGGTGTCTGGCTGCAGGGGAGCATGAGCTGCGTCAGCGTCGCTACCGCCGCACCGAGCACGAGAAGCGAACATATCGGGAGTCGACAAACGCGGTCAGTCAGTCAGTCAGTCAGTCAGCAACATCACCACACACGCACTGCTCCGTCCACTCCTCACTATCACATGGCACCCACTCCAACGTCGAATGTAATGCTGTGGGCGTGCAGGGCATGTTGTTGAAGAAGGACACTGCCCATGATATCGCCAGTCGCCCTATGCCTGACGTCAGCAGCAGCGGCAACAGCATTGTAGCCCCCCCTGTCCCTCCCTCTACCCCCTCCTCACCCAGCAATCCCCTCCCCGACCCGGCCGTTCCCCTGCCCCTCCCACTGCCACACTCGCAGTCACACTCGCCGGCGGTGCTGGCTCCGGCGGTGTACAGCCCCCAGTGGCAGCCCTCTCACCAAGTGGCGGCCATGGTGTTGGTGCCCATCGTCGTCCAGACTAGCGCTTCGTTCTCGGCCCCCACGGTGCAGCTGCCGGTTGTGTCGGCTGGGAGTGGGGTGGGTCAGGAGCAGGCAGGATCTGGCGGGACGACCTCGTATCTAAAGATGCTCGACAGCATATCGCCTGACGGTAAGGAGAGGGGGAGGGAGGGATGTTGATTATGGAGGGAGGGCCTCATATGTACCCGTGTGGTTCTGTGTGTGTGTGATTTGGCGTGTCAGACATCCTGCGGGCGATTCGCGAGAACTCCAACTACTCTGATTGATTGAGTGGGGCGGGCGGGGTGGCGTCATGACTGGGATCTTTGTAATTGGGTGACTGACTGACTGAAAGGTGGCAATGCCTTTGTGCGGAGAACTGTGGGTCGGACCAAGGTAGAAGAGAGAGAAAAAAAAGAAGAGAAAGCTAAGTGGGCGCGAAATGGTCGTGGCGCGGCAACGGTGGATAGCATACGATTATCATACGACTGACTGACTGATTCTACATGCGCCTCTGTCTCGTGAGGGACGGCCCGTCTGTCTCTATATCTGCATCATCTGTTCGGCGTGGCCGTGTTACGTGTCCATGTGGCTGTGTATGTGGGTCGATGTGCATGAGTGCCGTGGTGGTGTGCGTCTGTGTGTCCATGCATTCCGTGTGCATGTTGTCTGTCTATGCAATCCTTCCTGCCTGTGTTGTGTGTGTGCGCCTGTTTTTCTCCCTCCTGCGTTTCCTGTATTGACAGACAGACATGGCTGGGTGGGCAGGCGGGCATTGCGTAGCTTCGTGGGGTTTGCTCCCACTCTGCCTCACAGCAATACATCACCGTCTTGGCAGCCAGTGTCACCATGTACCATCACCACGTGTTGATGCTGACTGGCGGGCTCGGTGAACGGTTTGCATGAGGCAGGGCGAGCGAGCGAGCAAGTCGGATATCGGTCACCACTGCGTCACAGCTGGTGACGCAGGATAGATGGCCGGCTGTTGCGTGCGCCTGCCTCTCTCGTCTCTCGTATTCCCCTTCCCATCACTCGATGAGTCAGTCAGTCAGTCAGTCTCCGGTCTTTTTCACCGATGCCATATCGGTAGCCGACGCTGACAGAGAAGACAGACAGGTAGGCAGGCAGCGAGCGGTTTCGCGATGCAGGCCTGCTTATGGTCTATCTCTATTGATTGGCTTAGCATTCCCATTCCTTTCGACTGACTGACTGACTGCCCGGCCGAATTCGACGACAGGTACCCTCCCTGTCCTGTCGTATCCCCCCTGTCTGTCGGTGTGGATACAGCGATGGCTGTGATGCACTGCACGCCCCGTGAATGCATGTGTGTGTGTGTGTGTGTGTGCATACAGCTATTTGTAGCCCAACTGCATGCGCCTCCTCTTGCTTGGGAGCTCCCCGTCTCGGCCATGCCCGTCCCTCCCCGCACACCACATGGTGGGCGGCGGATGGATCGACGGATGGACCTATCGGGGCCACCCTTTTTGAAGACTGACTTCCCTTCCTACTTGACTCAGCGCGGCGAGGTCGCACTACAGATACGTATCTATCTGTCCATCTGTAGGTCTTACATGCGGTACGTACGAGTGAGTGTGTGTACGCCCCGCCCCCATCTGGAAGCGATAGGGCGATCGATGATTAGTTGGTTGGCTGGTGTCTGTGCACGAGGCCTCACTGCCTTCTGCCCTTCTCTCTGTGTCCGTCCGTATGTGTGTGTATGTGTGTATGGTTTATATTCTGAGATGGTATGGATGCATGGTTGGTTGGATGGATGAATGGTCCACACACAACAGAGGGAGAAGAAGAGAACACGCGTTGCAAGAGTGTTTTCAAGCGGTGCTATCCTGAGTGAGGCGGGCAGCGTGTCTGTCTCCCTGGCTGCTTGCTTGCCTCCTCTAACCGCGCGTACGCGTGTGGTTCTCACGGCTCCAGTCGGTCGGTCGGACTGTGTGATGATTGATCGCATGACTCGAATGGGACGGAGAAAGTCGACCGACCGAGGTGAGGTGCATGTGATGATGCCATCCATCCCGGGTGGTGTGCTGTGCTGTGCTATGTGCTGTCTTCCTCTCTCTTGCTGGTCTGGTTGACTGAGGTTAGGGAGGCTCATGAGTGTGGTGAGCGTGTGTGGCTGCTGTCCTCCTACCAAGGGAGGTAGACGCACGCACCGCGCCCCTTAGGTATCTTCCCTGCCTGCCTGCCTGCCTGCCGACTGGCTCACTGGTCTGGCTGGCTGCGTCGATCAGTTTCTGAGGGGGGTTGGTGTACCTGTGTACAGATCACCGTGTTCTTGGGTGTACAGATCCTCGTGTACAAAAAACACGGTAGAACGGACTCCCGTGCCGTATCGTGTGTGTGGATAGCATCATGTGCATTGTGTCGTGCCGACCACCTGCTCTCGATGGCTGCACCATCTCCTTCTCTGTCCTGTCGCCGTTTGTGTGCCGTCCTGTGTGGTACACACATACGGCATTCGAATGGCTGGCAGACGGAGGGGCATGTTAGTGTGCTGTCGATTTGAGCAACGGCTGGGTGGCTGGCTTGACACGTGACTGATCCTCGTCTGTGGTGTTTGCTGTGTGTGCCTGTGGTGCATGCCATGTGCATGGCTGCCTGGATGCTTTCGCGTCTGCATGTCTGTCTCTCTGCTCTGTGCTCTGTGAGCCTGTGTCTGTGCGTATGGGTGGGGTAGGTCTCTGACAGGGGACTGGGGAGTTCATACACTCATACTCTTTCACACGGGAGGGAGGGGAGGGGAGGGAGGGGAAACTGACGCATCGGTGAATGAACATCTTCAAGTATCCCCGAACACCATAGGATGCACACGAGCCATCGGAATATAAAGTGCAGGCAGCGATTTCTGGGAGCTATCCGAGCTGCCACGCTGCACACCGTAAGTCCTGCCCCCGGTCCCATCGGCGGGTCGGCGGGCAAGAGCACTAACCACACCAAAAACAAACATACGAGAAGGAATGTGTGCGAGTCTCCGTGCGTGGGTGTGTGAGACAGACGGACGGACTTACGGATGGATGGATGGATGGCCATCCCCCCTCCCTCCCTCCCTCCCTCCCTGTCTCTCCCCTGCCGCCACGCTGCACACCGGAAGTCCTGCCGCCGAGTACTCCGTCGGCTCACTTGGGTCGGCCGTAGACGACGCCGGTTGTCTGCCGCTGGAAGCGCCGCACGAGCCTGGTGTTCTGGATGGCGACTGGGGGTGCTGTGGTGCCGGTGGTTTGCGGCTTGGTCCCGCGGCAGTAGCGGCCCCCACGGGCTGGCTTTGATGCGAATGCTGGGGCCACGTTGATTATGTGCCGCAAGCAAGACGTGGCGGCGTCCTTGACCTCCTGCGTGCCGACACACAGACACAGACAGACAGACAGACAGACAGACAGCGACAGAGAGGTTCTCATGCTCTGCTCTGCCCTGCTCTGCTGCCCTCCCTCCCTGCCTCCCTGCCTCCCTGCGTACTTACCGGGCGGTGTCCTCGTGTGCCAGCTTCCGGTGAACGGCCTCCCACAGGCTGTGCACGCACTTCTCGCCCCCCTTGCACAGGGGTGACGGGGGGTCCAGGCGCAGCGCATACACGTACGCACCGCACACACGGAGCGAGTGGGAGGCGACCGCGGGGCAAGTGTCGTCCATCAGATGCAAGAGGAGGGGGAAGAGAGTGGGCGCCATGCTGCGGAGGACCCTGGGGTCCTGCACACACATACGTACAACCGACAGCACACACACAATGAATGCACCACCACCACACCCACACCCACACCCACACACACACGTGTCGATCGCTCTCTGTTTGCTGGCTGGCTGGCTGGCTGACTGACATGGAAGTGGCGGGCCTGGAGGGAGAGGAGCACCAGTGTGTCCAGTCGCAGGCTGCTGGGGGAGTCCTGAAGGGTCTTGGTCAGCTCGGGGAGCATCTTGGGCAGCTCGGGCTCGAGCGCCGCGGGCATACTCCGGGCCATCCTCTTGAAGAGCTCCAGTGCAGCGTGCCGATGAGCCAGGGAAGACGAGTCGCCGTAATACTGACGGAACACTGACCACACACAGACAAGAAAGGTCCTCTTCCCATGTCTGTCTGGGCTGTGGTGGCCGTCTTACCTGTGAACGCGTCAGCGAGGGTGAGTTTCCGGACGAACAGCGCTGCGCCCGGCCGTTGGGGCGGCAGGGCCGCCTTGTGCCCCTCCTGCTGGCCCGTCTCGCCACTCAGCCATCGCTCACCACAGCTGCCCTGAGAATCAATTCAACGGACCGGTGGATTCATTATATAACACACACAGAACCAAGAGTGGCCCAATGCACATGAGGGCGCGCGTGTGTGTGTGGTTTACTTGGTGCATCACGGCGGCTTCGAGGAGGTCGCCTACGACACGGAAGACCTTGACTCGGACGGTCTGCTTCCACTCGAGGGGAAGGCGTGTGAGCAGGGGGCCCGTCACGGTCTTGTAGAGCTCCTCAAAGCGGTCGGGCTGCGACTGGATCAACACCGACAGGACCTACAGATACATACCACACCAACATGACACGCGTGACACAAGACGACGGACGCATCACAGCATCCTTCCCCGGTAGGTGACTCACCTGCAGGGCAGCGCTTCTGACTAGCCACGACGAGTCGTCGTCCTCATCCGGCCAGTGGGCATGCGGGTCGTGCTGTGCCAAAGCCAGCGCCTTGTGGATAATCTTGTGCAGGTACGGCCTCATCTGCACACACCACACACACCACACCGTCCACGCCGATGGACGCGATGGCGCGCTTGCTCACAGAGGGGCGGTGCGCGGACGACAACAGCTTTATCAGGGCATGGGAAACTGGTTCCTGCACCACACCACACCACGACACGACACGACACAACACAACACGACGTATCACAGCACAGCACATACAGGATGGTGCATGATGCAGTGAAGACAGCACACCGCACGCACGTACCTGCTCATTGAGCCACATTCTGTCGGCCTCTCCGAATCGCCGCCGTAGGTCGTCCAACTTCTCGACAAGTAGCTCCTCATCGCACACAATCGATATGAAGGACACACAGCAACGCCGGAACGAACGTAGCGGTGAGCTGGGACTCTCTTTGTGGGCTGTTCTATGTGTGTGTGCACTGGTTGATTTGCTGACCAGAACCGCACGGCGGGCATGGCCACAGTGTCGGGCGCTGACTTGATGGCCTCGAGCGTCAACTGATGCAAGACAGACAGACAGACAGCATGCCCATTCTCTTCCTCCAGCAGCACATGGAAGCCACATGCAGAGTGCACCGGACCCTGCAGGGTGTGTGCGCTTCGGATTCCTCCTCACCTGCCAGGCGGCAGCAGGGTCACTGACAGGGCTAACATGGCTCCTTTGCGGCGCTACAGGCACTCTTGGAAGGCGGAGAGCTGGAACCTGCAAAAACGAACACGCGTTGTGTGCATGTTTGTAAGTTTGTAAGCTTGTAAGTTTGTATGGGTGGATGTATGGATGGATGGCTACCTACTCGAGCAGCATGGTCTTGGCCCGCTCCTTCTCCAGGGCGATCTCCAACCACACCGCACCTCTCGCACTGGGGCTGACGAGTAGGGCGTCCAACTCGCGCTACACACACAGCAGACACGAACAGCCATACCTTCATTGTATGTGTGCCTTTCGTTTGTCTGTATGTTGCTCATGGCTCCCCGCAGCCGCCAAATCTTCTCGCGCTCAGCGTCGTTGTAGTCGAAGAGATGCCTCTTGGCCGCCTCCACCAGCTCCCTAAGAACACTCTCTCGGCCGAGTCGGCGGCCGCTGGCTCGGTGCGCAGGTCTCTGATAGATGCGATGCATACAGAAACAGGAACTGATGACATTGAATGCCGACCCTCCTGGTGTGCATCCACGTCAGAGAGATAATTTATGTGGATTGACCAAGGCATACACACACACATACGTTATGTGTGTGTGTCGCCTTCCTTACCTCATTCGGGGAGGTGATGTGTAGTGAACCTCTTGGCGGCCTCCTTGTCCAGCCGCAGCCGTCTTGTCGGAGGCCCTTCCTGCAGCGGGCAGCCAACAACACATTGACACCAACCAACCAGAGACATAGACAGAGAAGGTGGCTGGTGCGTGTGATGACTGACTGGGTGACTGACTGACTCACCTGAACGTCTTGGTCGGGTTGCGGCCGAGCAGCGCCACGATACAGATGCCGTCATTCCTTTCCCCTCCTGGTGTTGCGGCGGCGGCTCAGCAAATACGTCCATGGATATAAAATGTAGGCAACGATTGCCTACGGGCACGACAGGATGCCAGTCGCACCCATACCCTGCCTTTGCCCTCGTTGCCACGCTCCCCGTATCTATCAGCCCCTCTTCCTGTCCATCCATCCATCCATCACAAGACAGTCATCATGAATACAAGCCAGCCCTCCCTCCCTCCCTGCTACCCTGCCACCCTGCCATTGTCGGTATCATTATCGGTATCCTGCCGTCAGCTCCGCAGTGAGGTCCCCCAGCCGATACGAACCGCGGAGCCGCATTGAATGCGAGTGCTGGCCCCTGGTTGACGGCGCCGCCTCCTCCACGTCGGCCAAGTCGGCGGCCGCTGGCTCGGTGTGCAGGTCTCTGATAGATGCATACAGAAGCGGGAACTGATGACATTAAATGGGACCCTGGTACCACGTGTGCATCCATGAAACATAAATACCCGCGGTGAACTCGCCAGGATCACGGGAAGAAGGCCTCGAGAAGCGGGTAAGACTTGGACAAAGAGGGACGGGTTGAAGAAGAATAGGTAAGCGCATAAGCCAACAAGCAGTCCAACGAAACAGAGATGGGGGAGGCGCGGCTGAAAGAAGGCAACAGAGCGGACGGGAATTGCGAAATGTGGATCCATTTCATTAGTTAGGGTTTGCGGGGTTTCCGTCTCGTCTCACTGGAGATTCTCGCCGCACTTTGGCGAGGTGACGGCCAGAAGAGCGCAAGGTAGATCTGCCATCCTCTCTTTCCCTCTCACCATGGAGGATGCAGGTGAGGGTGCGGAGGACCATCGCATGACGGCCCGCCAGCTGGCCTTGCTCAAGGCGTCCGGCGGGCAGAAGCGGAGACCCATCATGGACGTTGACACCAGCAGTAGTGACGAGGAGGACTCCGCATATGGCAAGGGAGGGCGGCGCAGGAAGGCCGGCAAGAAGAGGCAGCGGGGGGATGAGAAGGGTAAGGGCGATAAGAAGGGCGGCGGGAGAGATAAGATGGAGGTGTCGGACGGCGATGAGGATATCGAGGTGGGCAGTGAGGGATGCAGACGGGGTGTCGAAATGGATGCATTTCCGTGTGTTGTGTGGTTTGGCTTCGTTGCTGTGTGTGCAGGATGTGGTTGAGGTTGGTCCTGCTGATGCGCTGAAGGCTCTCAAGAAGATGACGGCGAAGCTGGAGGCGCAACTCAAGCAGGCCAAACAGGCCGAGAAGCAGGTACTTTTCTTCGTGGGGCAGGAAGGCTAGCAAAAGGGGGGAGGCAGCGCGTTGGCGTGTGTGTATTGAATGCCATCATGCAGGCTCGTGAGGTGTATGAGTTGAGAAAGGCCGCCCAGGACCCCGAATCGCTCGAACAGCAACACCGCATGCAGGTAAGTGAGTCGGTCAGGGCCAATACCATACACACACCAAACGACATCAACAGACACAGCCTCTCCTTGTATGTGTGTGGTGTTGTTCAGGAAGTTGATCGTCAGATTCGCGTGTGGTCGAGCATGGTGTGTGCCGACGCCAACACGCAAATCAGCCACGTAGACAAGGTCGCTACCAAGCAGATGAAGGAGAACACTCGCAAACTCGACGCCATCCGACACAAACTCAACGAAATGGACCAAGACGACACCGAGCAGGTCAACACAACACACCACAGCACAGCACAGCACAAACACAACACAACACAACACAATACAGGAAACACAGAGCGAGAACTCGCCACTTCGCGCTCTCTTTCTCAGACCAAGTCGCAGCTTGAAGATCTGCCTGAGGCCCTGTGGATGGCCGACGGTGTGGGGATGGGCGCCATGCTGGGCTTCGTGTCGTGTCTGGAGTCGCTGGCGAGCGTCAACAGCTTCTTCCACCACCTCACCCAGCAGGCCGGCATGCACCCCATCGTCGAGCTGGAGGACTCACCCAAGATGAAAATCGCTAAGAAATGGACGGCCGGTGAGGAGGGCGGGAGCAAGAGGGCAAACAAAACTCCATGTACGTGCAGCCATGTGTGGTTTGTCGTTTATGGCGTTGTGGTCAGGTCCGTTGTCTGAGTGTGTTGACGTGCGCATCTACCACCCTCCCACCGCGTCGCTGGTGTGTTTGCTGGAGCGCCTGTCGGCAACTGTCGAGTGTGTTGACCTGCACTGCCCCCTCGAGTGCGCCACCACCTACAAGAACGGCCGGCGTAAGCCACAGTGGGAGCTGGACTGGTCCGTGCGTCGCGACATGGAAAAGATGACAAAACTCGACCTGCCACGGAACAAGGTAGGTCAGGGAGGGGAGCTGGCTGACAAAATACAACTGCTTGTTGGCATTCATCACTTTCTTTCTTGTCTCCGTGCAGAAGGCTGTCGTGTTTGAGCGTGTGGAGTCGGCCAGCGTGAACAAGGTGTGGGCCAAGCTGGCGGAGGACCGGCTGTACCAGATGCCGTCACTGCAGGGCCTCAGTGTGGTGGACATCACCATGACTGCGCCGCGCTCGTGGATCCGGGAGGCTCAGGGGGGCATCAACTCGCTGCACATCATCTGTGAAAAGGTCTGTAAAAAGAAAGAGGGGACGACTTGTCTTCATGCATTCATTCTCTGTCTGCAGGGTGATCCGAGTTGTGGCAATGCTGTGAGTCTCGACCAAGTGAGAGACGTCCTCAACAATACAGAATCAGGTGAAGAAACCAGCTCTGATTTCCGGCCTCACGCCTTCCCCATTGTGCCCTCTGTGTGTGCGCAAATCAGCCAAGAGCCTCACTTCGCTGACCGGCCGCGTCGAGTTCTCCGACTGCAGCGGCTTCGTCAATCTGGTGGGCTCGACGAGCGATGGGGCAGGCCCCCTGGAGGAGATCGAGATGGCCATCGGGACGATCCATGACACACACGACATACAGGTAAAGGAAGAACACAGACACTTTCTGCATCCATCGCCATCCCATCAGCCCTTCCGTCTGCGTGTTCGTCTGCACAGAATCTGCATCGTTTTCGCACCAAGTGCCTTGCCCCTGACGCGCGCGAGGACTACTTCGGCCGCATCGAGGAGGGCGAGCTGCAGGGCGGTCCCATCGTCCACCTGCCCTTCAGAGGCGACCAGAAGGCCCTCACCGACTCCCCCTCGACGGTGGAGGTGTGCTGCCAGCAGGCCGAGAAGGTGACCCTCTACAGTCGTGCGCCCGGCGACACCATCAAAGAGGCCCCCGGGCTGGACTCGATGGTGTTTGAGCTTGTCCACGAACTCACCGTCGTGCATTACCCTGGCACCGGCCTGCTGCCCTCATACATCACGGACGACCCCACATCGCTGTTTCCGAGTGTGTCATCTACTGTGGTGAGGGAGGGGGCGCTGCCAGTGGGCGTGGGTGCGTCTGGGCGTGGGGCGGGCTATGTGCTGCATGCCCTCTCCCCCTACCTAGAGAAGGTGCGTTATGAGTTGTCTGTCTGCGCGGACCCTGAGGCCACATGCACACTGCTGCCTGATGGCCTCGAGTCCGTGTCAGGCGAAGGCAAGGAGTTAGCAGTACAGCTGAAGTATGACATCACATGCAATCGATGGCGCTACAACTATGACTTAGACGATCAGGTACGCACTGACATCTCTATCGGTTGGGAAATGTACGGGGACGGGGAGAGCGAGGCAGTCAGGGAGGTCATGGACAGTGGCCGTGTTTCATCACTCGAGGTGTGCATCAAGCTTCATCGCCTCAGCGCCCGCGAGCTGCGCACGTGCTGCGGCTCCTTCGCTGAGTGTGTGGTTGAGGCGTTTTCAGCCGTCCCGACACTCGACAGTGTCGTGCTGTCCCTCGAGTACACGTACGGCGGCAGGCCTAAGTCGGTGGTTGGAATGGTGAGGAAGGGGGCTAAGAAGAGGTGTCGTGTGACAGAGAGGACTGACGGAACGATAGTGCTGCGACCCAGCCAGGCCAGACAGAGAGCCAAGGTAGAGGGGGGAGAGGGGGAGGGAGAGGGAGACGGAGACGGGTACGGCGAGACAGAGGGAGCGGCCAAGGTAGGAGAGGAGGAGTAGACACACACGATACACTCACCACACTACTCTGCTGTTCTGACCTGCACGTGTGGCGGTGGAGGGGCGGGGGGGGGGGGGGGGGGATTGTACAGTCGGCTCTGTGAGTGGATAAATCCATCGATGTGTGTGAGATGAGATGAGATGGGTTGGACTGTCTGCTCATGCTTGGCACGAAGAATGCATCGATTGCCTGGCGGTGTGGTCACTATACGTGTGTGTGTGAGTGCTGCTGACCTCACTCATGCATTTGTGGCCCTTACTTCACTTCCGGCGCATCTTCCTGCCAGCCCTGACAGCCATCCTTGTGTGTCGAAATTGTGCGAACGAATGTGTGCGCGTGGATGGATGGATGGATTGACGAATGAGTGCATCAATCATTAATTCATGTATCGCGTCAACCTGCTCACTCACTCACTCACTCACTCAAGACACGGCTGGATGGACATATACGCACCACGCACGCACCTTCCATGTACACTGCAGTGACTGCACAAACACATGGCATGCAGCAAGCACATCCGAGGAGCTCACGCTCACAGTCTGTCGGTCATTCTCACGCCATTGAATGTATTGTCCGCCATCGATCAATCGGTCTGTTTGTCCCTCCCTTCCTCGCTGTGGTCGCCTGCCGACCCTCTACACCATCCATCCCGTAAGCATCTCTACACCATCCCTGTGTCTGTCTGTCAGCCCGCCCGCCGTGTGAGCGGCTGTGTCAGCAGCGCCTCCACATGCCGCACCGTCTCCAGCGTGTAGCGGAACCGCTGCAGCGTCGCATCCAACTTGACCTGCACCGCAGACAGGGACGGACGCACCACGCTGATGTCTCTGTCCCATGGTTGTGTGTGGTGGGCTGGGCTGGCGGCAGGGCGCACCTGGTCTACTTGCAGGTTGGCCATGACTTTCTTGCCGGTCTCCCACAGCACATGGCTGTGTGTCAACATGCTCTCATCCGCCAACTCGAGGGGCTGACACACACACACACACACACACAGACGCATCCATCCACCCGTCCATGTCCGTCAATGCCCGTCCCCTCATTACCCACAGTTTTAGGTCGCGTGGTGTGGCGATGTTGGGGTCATTTTTGGCGATGCGGATGGCGCAGTGCAGGGCCATGGACGCCAGCTGGGCCGTCGACTGACACGTGCAGCGGATTGAACCAAACGCCAGGTACTGACCAACAGTGGCAGGAGAGGACACACACATCCATGTCATTGGTTCCCTCCTTCCATGTCACTGACCAGGAGGAATTGCGCCTTCTCGTGCAGATAGGCCTTGAGCTCCTCCGACACCTTGAGGCCCGTCGCAGTCAGGTAACGCTCTACCGTCTGCACTCATGCACACACACACACATGCATCCCTCGCCCACACACTCAGAAACATCCACACGCCATCCCTCTGTCTCTCTCCCCGTTTTCTTGCCTCGAATGGCGATGGGTAGTAGACGATGTAGTTGAGGTGGTGCAGCACCTCTATCTGGGTCATCTGCAGCTCCTCGTGGGTGGCCCAGTGGCTGGGAGAGGGCATCAGACGCAGCTGGCGCGTGAAGAACTTCTGAGAGAACCGCTGCGCCGGGACGCCGTACTCGTGCTCGATGTGGTCATTCATGTACGCCAGATGGATGCACACCAAACCCGCCTTGAGGAGAGCATGCAAATCACATGCATGTCATCATCAGGAGTGTGTGTACGTGTGTGCACGTGTTCGTTCACGGCCTCACCGTGTAGTATTTCTTGATGATGAGTGCGGTGTAGTCGGTGGGAGACCGCAGGCCGCTCAGATACCGCTTGTTCGCGTACCGATCCAACCTGCACACAGATGAATGAGATGGACACAGCAGACCAACCAGTGACGGCACAGACACGGACCCTTTCCTCCTTTTCTCCCCTGAGGCTCCCCTTCTTCCCTCCCTGCCTCGCCCCATTCGCCCGCCACGTACATGTTCATTGCAGTGGACATGACCTTCTCGTCAATCTTGAGTGAGCTGGTGTTGTGCCAGTTGACCAGCAGATCCCAAAACCCCGCCCTCACCGCACCGAACCGCAGCGAGGCCACCGTCCCGTCCTGCGTCGTCCACCCGGCAACCAATGCGTTGGCGTAGGCGTCGAACCCACGGATCATGAAGTGCTGCTTCTTGTCGTGCTGACACATGGATGGATGGATGGATGGATGGCTGGGTCTGTCTGTGTGTTCTGTACCTCCACGACCTTCATGTGCCATTGCCTATACTTGCGCGTGATGTACACGCGTTCCTGCCGCTGCTTTTCTACGTCCGTCAGATCTCGACCCTCACCCGAGCCGGTAGACGTGCCCGCCGAGCCTCCTCCTAACATCTCAGCTGGGCGGAGAGGGGGGCAGCTCTCGAAGCGTGGATTTACACGTAAATCTGGGGTCGGGGGCAGCCAGCTGAGCAGCCAAGATGCGCCCTTTTGCCCCGATGGCAGGCCGTGGCCGTCATCGTCGGGCTGGTCCTTCGCCTGGCGCCGCAGACCCCGTTGATGTGGACATGGACGCGCCTCCGCCTCCGGGGCCTCCGGACACATCCACGGGCTTCCTTGGCCGCTTCACACACCTCACTCGGCTGGTAAGGAACGGGAAAGAAGGCAGATAAGCCGGCGGACGTAGAAAGATCCCGCACCGATCAGATGGGTGCTGTGTATGGTTAATTATCCTTATGAACAGGGCAGCGGCACCTATGGGTCTGTGTTTTCTGGGTTTCTGACGAGGGAGGCGGCTGGGCAGATCAAGAGGGAGCTCGACATGGACATACAGGCGGGACACTACGCCATCAAACGGGTACGTACATAGGGCTGCGCTGCGTGGCAGGTCATTCTGGCCCTTACTTACTGCGGGTGGTGGTTGGATGGATGGATGTGTGTGCAGATAGGATGCAAGAGTAGCTCGTTGGGTGGAGGTGGTGTGGTGCGGCCGTTGTCGCCCGACACATACCTGGAGATCTCGACGCTCGCCATGGCCTGGCACCCCAACATCGTCAAGCTCTTCGGCACACACATCGACCAGGACAACACTGCATTCCTCATTCTAGGTACCACTGACACTCTAGGTACCACTGACACACCACCTCTGCAGCCAGGCTGAGGGCATTGTTTCCACGCGTGGACGTGTGTGTGTGTGGTGTGTGTGTAGAGTTGGGTGACGTGACGCTGGACAGCTACTACCATTCCTACATCCACCACAACCGACAGCAGATGCCCATCCGACAGGTGGCAGAGATCCTCTACCAGGTGCTGCTCGGCGTCACACACCTACACTCGTAAGTGCACCAATACCCACACTGACACACGCAGGCACAGAGAGAGAGAGTGGTCTGGGGGACTTCTTCTTGTCTGTGTGTTGTTTGCTTGTTGGTATTTGTAGGGGCGGTTGCGGGGGAAAGGAAGGTGGGGACTAACGAGGCGAACGCTCTTGCGTTGCGGAGGCTCCCAGCTGTGTGTGTTTCTGTGCAGTGATGCATTGTGATTTGAAGCCCTCCAACATTCTGCTGAAGCTGGACCAGCACGGACGGTCACACGACGTCCACTATGTCAGAATCTGCGACTTCGGGTGAGCCTCAGCAACACCCACATACCCACCATAGCCACCTTGGTCCGTTTCTCTCTCTCTCTCCCTGTGTGTGTCAGGATGGTGCAGCCGACCCCGTGCGACCCGTCCAAGAAGCCGCGCAAACCCAAATACGTCGGTCCGTGCGGACATCACATGGACGTCGCCACACCACACCGCACGCAATATACAACACACACAGGCTGAATTGTATTGCCTCTATGTGTCCTGTCCGTCCACCGTACCGTCAGGCACCCCCATGTACTGCAGCCCCGAGCTTCTGCTCTACCAGAAGGACCACTTCTGGGCGGTACGGTTACAGACACAACAAACATACATACATACATACAATAAATACACAAAGCCGTCTGCTCACACGAGCGATTATGTTATGCGTGCGTCCATTCATTCATATGCATTGATTGCATCGGTCAGGTGGACATCTGGGCGGTGGGTTGCATCTTCGGCGAGCTGCTGACGGGCCGTCGTCTGTTTGGGGGGAAGGGCAATAGCAACGACGGTACGCTGTCCGAGGTGTGCCGCGTCATGGGCAAGCCCAGCCCTTCCACATGGGCGGGCGTCGACACACTCCCAAACTACGAGGTGAGGGGAGGGCGGCTGGATGTTGTCTCTTTGAGTGTGCCGTGTGTTGTGTTGTGTGTGCAGGTGGTGCAGACGCTGCAGTTTGGGGAGGCGCCCGAGCGTGCGTTGGTGGATGTGTTGCGCGAGGCGGTGCCGCCCCGCCAGGACATGGATGACATGACTGAAGCCATGGCCGTAGACCTGCTCAGCAAGTGAGTGAGCAAGAGAAGAGACACACCCCAATGCACATACGGACGGATCTATGGCGCTCGTGGCGAGATGGGGTTCCGCGGGTCTGTCTGTGTGGCGGTGTGTGTGTGCAGGATGTTGTGCCTGAATCCGTATGAGCGCATCTTCGGCGCCGAGGCACTCCGGCGTAAGAGAGAGAGGCAGGGAGGAGAGGGAGAGACACGGAAACACAAACACACCACACCCGCACACGAGTTGTGTATGTTTGTGTTCAGATCCGTTCTTCAAGCACGTGCTCAAAAAGTAGCCTACCGATGACACATACACACTCACACACGCATACAGACAGACAGACAGACAGACAGAAGGATAAGCAAGTTGCCATCCGCTCATCGTCTGCGTTCTCCCCCTGTGTGTGTGTCGATACGTGCAGCTCGCTCCTCTGCTACGAGCACTTCATGTATGTCGGACGGCACCGCACTCACATGCAGTGGCTTCTCACTGTGCTGTCTGTCTGTCCTGTGGTGTGTATGCAGCCGCACGTCGCGTCGCGAGCTGCACGAGGAGCTGCACGAGGCATGCAGCGCAGGCATCCACCTCAGGTGAGTGACCTCTTCTCGTATGTACCAGGTGCCGCTACACACATACATACATACAAAAGTGAGAGATGGAGGCAGCGAGAAATGGATGGACCCAAGTAGATAGACAGCCGAGACAGACAGACATACAGAAATGGGGCGTGGGTGGGTTGGGTGTGCGGGGGGATGCGTGGGATGACCGCATGCTCACGGACGTATGCATGGGCGTGCCGTGCCGTGTGTGTACGGACAATATCTATCGTAGAGACCAACGGAGAGACTCCTCTTGATTGAATACACGTCTCGTCTCGTCACGTCACGTCCTCATCCATTTGGCACACAAATGTCCTAGCTAGCTAGTGGCTGCACACCACACCCTCACGCAGACAGACCTAGATATATCACTCACGTCGATCACATGTATCAGTCAGGCGGCCATGAACCCCAGCCTCTCCCGCACCACTGGCTGCCCCGTCCCCAGCTTGGCCATGGCCGCCTCAAGCTTCTTGATGAGCTCGACGCCCACACGGCCGGCGTCCTTGAGCACTTGCAGAAGACCTGTCGGGTCAATCGATGCCATGCCTACACACACACATATTGCATACAGATAGGTGCGTCCGAAGACTGCTGTGGGCGTCATGCTGTATGTGTGTGTATGTGTATCCACCCGATTTGTGTACGGCGACGCATCGTCCGTTTCTGTCGACGGCCACGGTGACCTGGGCCTCCGCGCAGCTCTCCTCCTCAGACGACATATCCCACACGTAGTGACTGCACACCTGACACCACACACAAGCGACAGATGACAGGTAGATGGCCGGATCTTCGTTCCTTGAGTGGCTGACTGACCTGTCCGACAGTGACGCAGACAGGGATGTCCTGTGCGGGGAATGGCGTCCCCGCCGTGGGCCGCTCGTCCACATCGAAGGGAGGCTTGGACTGCTGCACGCCATCCGCAGTGTCTTCCTCCTCCCACTCATCGCGGGAACCAACGGATACGCTCGGCAACCTGCGCACACAACACACACATGCACACACATACACACGAGAGGTTGATGTGTCCACAGGGCTGTGTGTGTGGTCTGGTTACTTACGTGGTGTCGCGGAGGGCGGATCGCATGGCGAGGCTCATGGCGTCCAACACGCCGCCAGCGGCATTCAACAACTGATCGATCAACCAACACACACAGACACACACACACACGATGGCTGCCAGGCCAGGCTGACTCCCCTCCCCTTTGATCACCCACCGACCCACCAGAATATCGACATTGACGTGCCATGCGTAGACGTGTGGCGACACGCACAGGGCCTTCTTGTCGAGCGCACACGGGGGCAGGCAGAGGTCGTCGAGCAGCGCCCCCAGGTAGGCACTCCAGCCCTCCCCGCTGTCATCCCTCCTCCCGCCACCCACACGACCCGTCGCACGCGAACTCGACCCGCCCTCCAGCTCACCGTGAGGCGCTACAGACGCCGAGCTGATGAACAGCCCAGCACACAGCAGGTACATGAACAGCCATTGTTTCATGGGTGGCTGGTTTGGCCACTCACCATTCCACGTTGACGGACACGACGCCCTCGTCGGGCTTGTCGGCTGGCGGAGAGCCCATGTCAACCTGAGCCACGCATGACCGGTGTGGGAGGGATAGTGTGACTGCAGCTAGCCTCGCCCCTCAGATGTGAGGCTGATTCGAACGGATACAGTACGTGTATTACCTTGACGGCGCAGAGCACGTCAGTGCCGAAGCTTCGCACACGGCTGGAACCTGCAAGCAGACGCGCAAACATGGAAACAGGCCGTGACCCTACTCCAACAAGAAGCCCAGCCTTACATCCCACCTGATGTTGATGGAAGAATCCCGGTTTCCACAGTGTATGGCCGATAGTCCAGCAGTCCCCGGCCGTCGTTGCGGAAGCCTTGACGCACGCCGTCCTCCAGGAAGCGCCGCTCCGCTGGCGATAGAGTGCTCTGCGACAGCATCTGTCGAAGGGCACTCAAGCCCTAGCCCAGGCTGCTACGTGAAACGAGCAGCAGAACCAAACATATTACCGTCTGGCCAGTTACCCCTGGTCAGAGCCCAGGGAGATACCCGCTTTCTTAGGTAGCTTCGTGAAACGGAGCCCTATTCCAGCGGAAGCCCAACGCCATAGCGTTAGGCAGACTGGGTCTTTTCAGAGAGAAAAAACTCTGACTCCATCTGCTTGGTCATCAACTACTCTACGAGCAACCTGAGCACGCTATTTATCCGACAGGTTAAAAGCCGAAAGCGCTTGGTGACTGGCGGACACACAGCAGAAATCAACAACGACAACTGACTGACTGAGAGAGACAGAGGAAACAAACACTCTCTGGCTGTGTCTCACAAAGATGAGCTC